CCCCAAAACCCCAAAACCCCAAAACCCCTCTTTAGAATTTATGATGGATTAAGTTGAAAATAAGTAATATTTGAAATTTAAATTGCAAATTATGAGCGCAATAACTTCACTCACACCAAATGGTATTCATAAATGCTATGAGTAGCCTGAAAAGTACATCAACGATGAGTTGGTATTTCAAGTAATTGATGCCAAGTATTTCAAGCCAGAAGAAAAGAAAAACTAAATCAAGAGCAAGTAAGTTAACCTCAAATTATGCAGAGATGTGACTTAATTTTAGGCTAAAAATTTCAGATGGTCACTACTATATTTAAGTCATGCAAACTGATAAATCACATGATAATATGGTAATTCATATCTTTATCTAACCTTTAAACGATAGCAATAAGAGTTCACTCAGCATTCTGTGTTTAAAATTCTAGGGAAATGCTTAACTAAAAATAACATCTAAGGGACAAAGTAACTAACTAAGTGAAAATTTAACTTATTGCAGGATATTTGTGATGAAAGGCCCCGCAACAATCATCTATACTGGCTTAAAAAGAGTCATTGGAACTCCAACTGAATATACTAAGTCCTACTAGGAAAATTCTAAAGGAAGTGGAATTGATATTAAAATTCCAATCAATGAGACCGACTAAAAGTTTAATGATGATTTGAATACTGGAAATTCTGTCAGAAACTCAAACATTAACATTTAAGAGAATTTCAACAGAATGGGTATTCAGTCTCCCATCGGTAACCATAGGTAGGATAATTCTAGCACTAACAACTAGAGAATGATGCCGCAAAGTGTAATTGGGTAAACAAGATTCTCAAACGAAGAATAACCTGAAAATTAGGGGAAAAGAATGAGCTCAATGATGGAGATGTACACCCCAGTAAGATGCCTCAACAACTTTAGCACTGATTGGAAGATAAGAGCTAGAGTGACAAAGAAGGGAGACAAGAAAGTTTGGAGAAATAACAAAGGAGAAGGAGTTCTCATGAATTGTGATCTTATTGACAAAGAAGGATGCCAAATATAATGCACATTCTTTGGAGAGGCAGCTGAGAAGTTTGACAAAATCTTGAAAGAGAATCATGTTTTTCTGTTCTCAAATGGTTAGGTCAAGCTGGCAAATAAGAAATATACCTCAATCACTAATGATCACTGTTTGACCTTTGATTAAAATGCAGAAATTGTGGAAGTCGATGATGACTCATAGATAAAATAATAAGGATTCTCATTTATAGCACTTAAAGAGATTGAATAAAAGATGCAAAACTAAGCTATTGATGCAATCGGAGTAATAGTTGAGACTGGTCCAACTAATAGCATTCCTCTTAAACAAGGTGGAAATAAAGAAAGGAAAAATGTACTGATTGCTGATGAGAGTGGAATGAAAATTTAATGCAGTTTATGGGGTTCTCTTTGCAATCTATACTCCTATGATGTAGGTTCAATTCTGGGAATAAAAAACTCTAGAGTTTCTGACTATGGCGGTAAGAGTTTGAATTGTGGTGATGATCATTCCACACTTTACATCAATCCAAGGCACAAGAGAACAGATCAATTAATGAATTGGTATACAAAATTAGGCAGTTCTGCTAATCTATAAAATCTTTCAGGGGCAGCTAGTGGAGAAGGAGGAAACAGAGATAATTACAGATTAATGAGAGAAGCTTTAGAATAGCTTAAAACTGATAATGCATTTATTAATGGTCAAGTGTAATCTGTTTACTTTAAAACAAGCGGACACATTCCAAGAATTTTGTATGATGATAGCAGAATGATGTACTTCGTTGGATGTCCTGAATGCAAAAAGAAATGCTAGCCAGATGGTGCATAATACAAATGTGAGAATTGTAATAAGTATTATAATCAGAACGAAGTGAGACTTACTTATACTATCACTGCCAGGTTTGATGATTTATCTGATGGTACATTTGTTTCATTCTTGAGTGAATCCGCTGAAACCGTTATGGGCCAAACTGCTTTGGAATTCAGTAAAATCAGAGACAATCAAAGTTACTCCCTTGATTACATTCGAGATATGCTTAATGAAAGAAGCTTTTAGTCCGTGTCCTTAGTTGTAAAAGCTACTATTGACAACTACAACAATAACAGTGAAGAGCTCAAATTCAAATTTAATGCAGCAAGATGTTCCCCAATAGATCTGAAAGATGAAAATTAGATGCTGTTAAGAAGACTCAAAATGTATGAGAACAAGTAGTCAATGTTCTGAAATAGTATTCATTCACCCCTCAAGTTAAGCTATTAAGAGTTATTTCTTTAATTTCAAATTAATTTAAATTTTATATTTTAAGTTCTACAAAATAACTTTACAATTGATATTCGGGGTTTTGGGGTTTTGGGGTTTTGGGGTTTTGGGGTTTTGGGG